AAATACCACATTTAATAACATATTTTTACTCCAAACTCACTTCATAACGTCAGTCGAGTGTTTGAAATAAATCCTTCTGTGAGATGATGTGGCTTCTTACACAGAATAAGGCACGCAACATATTTCATTATAAATATACTTTATTTTAATAAATTATAATAATAAGAACTCAGATAAACCATATATTGCCGTAGTCGTGTGTTTATTAGTCACGTTGAATCAATGAAAGCAATTGAATCTTCTGTTTATTCAGCTGCAGCAATAGGCATTTTCTGGGTTTCTTCTGCAAGGCGTATTTGGAGTTTCAGTGCGAGAGCGCCCTCTGGCTTTTGGATGGAGATTTACTGCTGATCACAGAACCGTGCTTCACTGAAAGATACGCATGACAATTGCAGCTTCTGTCGAATCGCAATCTCGATTCCATTTCGATTTATCGTGCAGCCCTAGTTGTACTGCTTAATATTTTGTGGAAACCATGATATTTTTCTTTAAAACCCACGATTCCTTGATAAATAAAACCTTTACTGACCCTAAATAGTTGAACAGTTGGGGAAGCTACATTTGCTGTAAAGTTGTGTAAGCATACCTAGTTAGCGTAAGATCATGGTGGTGGAAATCCAGAGCTTTGCTGTAGTCATGCAAGTGAAAGTATGCATTGCCCAGTTGACTATAGACGGCACTCAGAACCTGCAGGTCTTCTGTGCCAACCTGCATGGCGGCCTCGAAGAAAGAAACGCCGGCGCTGTAATCCCCCACCTTACAGAGACGCTCCCCCTCCAGAGCCAGGTCCAAACAGGATGCCTCCATCCTGCAGGGGGCAGCAAAAACAAGATGTAGTTGTACTGACTCTCTTAGTAGAAATAAATCGAGAAGGCAGGATGTCCTCATTACAAAAACCAACAAAATCTTATCTTTTATAAATAAAATTTTGTGTATCTATCTCATAGTCAAACACTGGGAAAATTCAATGACAGTAAGGTGCTGTCATAACAGACCACTGATTTGTTTGTGCTGGGAAAGTTAAAAAAAAAAAGTGTCAGTTTGACATTTGAAACTTTGAATTAAAAAAAAAAACTTTGCGTGTACACACAAAAAATTGGTTAAAAAGTCTTAATTTTGGGGGGCTTACAGGATATAATTTCTATCCCAGGAATACAGTTTTTGGCACACAATTTCAGGGAAATAATTAAATTTTTTTAGGGATGCACCGAAATGAAAATTCTTGGCTGAAGCCGAAACCGAACAAAATGAAACACTGGGCCGAAGCCGAATACCGAGCACGGTTTTACGAGTTCCCCCCCCCATGTATTTTGCCAATTTTTTTCACCATTGCATAAATTAAATAGCCAAAATGTGCTTTTTACTATTTTGTCTTGCTTTTCAAAGAAAAAATCAATTACAAAACAATAATTAAAAAGATTTAACACTGAATTTTTTTTTACATTCTAGCACAATTTAATTTTAAAGCACAATTTAACTTAAAATTAATAAAATAATATTTTTTGGCCATCAGACCCCCATGTATTTTTTAAATAAAAGCAGCCTTGCTGAGCAGAAGACATGTCTTTTAAAACATTAGAAAATATTAGAGATCCCAATTTGAACACTATGTGTGAATGTTACAATAAATGTATTAATAGAGCTGTTGTAATTATTATCATTATTATTGTCTTTATTTTATTTTACAGAACAGTAAAATTACAATACTAACATTTATGAATGTTGATGGAGTTCTTGCATTTTCTCAACTTGGCAAAACGCGCAGGAAGACCTCAATGCTTCTTTTTGTTGACAACAGCAGATTTATAAATGAGTCTCATTACGAATATGTTGCACGTATTGCATTGTCACACGCGATATAAAAATTCATAAAAATGTCCTCCCCCTCCGGTTGAGCGGTCTGAGTCACCTGTGAGTAGGATGGCCGAAGGAGATGAATCCCTGGAACTTTTTCGACGTCGAAAAAGACGAAGTCTGTCGTATGTGAATTTTTCGGGTAACGTAGACTAACCATGTTCCCATTTTGCGATTTCAATCATCATACAGTAACCAGCAACAATCACCCCTTCCTCTTCTCATCGAAGAAGTTCGCTGCCTGCAGTACTAAACAGTCTCTCGCTGTCGGTGCTTGTAATGATTTTTGCGTCTTTCTCAGACAGTTTACATGCTTCCACACTGCTGTGCTGACATGTTTGATGCATTATAAAGAGTGTGTGCCTCTCACTCTGTGCTGGTTGCTATTTGATCGAGTCACGTCATTGTTCGGTACAATTTATTTGGTCTTTTCGCTTATTCATTATTTAATAATTTCGGTTGCCGAACATTCGGTGCATCCCTAAATTTTTTTGATTATTTCATTGTATGTTATGGTATATACAACAATGCGTCACACATTAGTTGTGTGGATTATCCTCACGTTATTAAATTAATACTGGCCAATGTAAAGGCTTAAAACTCCTTACAAATTAATTAAACAAAGCTAAATGGAAAAAGGACCCAACACAAAAATTCATTACCAATCAATCCGACACTGCATAATATGTGGCAAATCAATCAGGCCTTGCAAATATCTTTACCAGTTTTCCATAATAGATTAACCCCTAAACATAATAACCAGTCCGTCAGAGTTTGTAGAGGCCCTACCTGGTGCCTTCACGCCTCACACAATCAAAGAAAACTGGACATGTGAAAGGCATCTAAAGGGCTTCGTTGGCTCAAAATGTTGTCTTAAAAAGTCCTCCGATGGGGCCGTAATCTCTAAAACCAACCGTTCCAAACACACATACATCACGATGAGGCTGCCAATCAACCCAATTCTTCACCAGGAATTACACCTCTACAAACTCAAATGATTTTTAAAAGAATATTCTACACAGCAGTTGTCTATCATACAATGTCACATCGGACGTCTTTGAGGGCAGAGGTTGAAGATGGCTTTGGCAAAATCTGTCATGCTCAGCACTTGAACAGCTAATCTGATTGTGTTTCTGCTTTCCACTGTTGTGTGTGATTAGTGTGCACAGAGAGGGACACTACAGAGATTAGACCCACTGCGTTTGCTTCTGATGTCATGAAATTCGTTTCATCATGTGACTAATCAATAGACTACACGACTCAGAGAGCTTTCATCTAGAATATAAAAAAATGGAATCGATTTGCATAAAAGAAACTCAGAAACAGTGATTGTAGTTTGTTTCTCATGACAAACTGGTCTTGGGATATTAATGCAAATTAGTATGATTATGGCGATCTTAAAAATCTACTTTGTACATTCAACAGTACAGCAATGCACTAACAATGCCAAGGTCATGGGTTCCCAAGAAAATCAAGTAATGATAAAATAGATACCCTGAATGCAATGCAAGTTGATACAAGCATCTGCCAAATGCATAAATGTAAATATGACTATATATGTATTGCTAACAATGTCTGAGTAACAGATGTTTGCAGAGGACTGACTAAAAGATAAAAACTAACCCAACTCATGGACCGCAGAACAGAATTTGGGCAATCGTCATAAATGATTCACAGTGATATTAAATATTGAGTAAACTGGTGCACACCTGCTTTCTCTCTCTCTCTCTCACACACACACACACACACTAAAGCTCTACAATAATACTACCTTGGAAATGTTATGTTGCAAAATGGTTTGGATCCAAGATTTGGGTTTATTTTGCTGCTAGATTTCTCTCAAAATTTCAGATTGATAATGACATTCAAATTCAGTCAAACACCTTCCCCAACAAAATGTTTTTTTTTAAGACAAAGGGAGATGCATAAGATGATGACAAGCAATTAGCAATGATTTATTGAATTATTGAAAAGTTTCGATTATAAGCCTACTTGTAACCTTAAAATAAATTTTAGGTATTAAATCAAGAGAGACAAAGGGCACATTTATGGTCTGTTAATTTAATACAGTGCTAAATAAAATCTATGACTACGTGGCATGTGAATACAATTTTGGTCCATCTTTATGAATGAGTTAATACTGGACTAGCTCTAAATATATTAAAGGGTGCATTACAACTGAAAAGAATACGTAAATCAAGTGTTGCATGCCTACCTGTAGTGGACAAAGGTCCGGTTCTCATTCTGCATGCTAACCACTGCACTGCTCGCAGCCATTGAAGAGCATTATGAAGTACTGATCCGAGTCAAGTCCAGAAAGTAATCCAACAGGGAAGAATAATGAACTGAATCCCAGAAAAAAAGTTTGAATTAATTATAAACTCTTCCAAAGTCTCTCTGACGTTTTGCAGTGGTGGAGTCCAGTGCACTACAGATGAGCTTATCCAGACTAATATTCACCACATGGCTCTGGGAAGTGAGTGTTTGTGTGTGTGTTTTGTCCAGGATGCTCTTCCGGAGCTCTCTGTGAAAAGAACACAAGACGCCGAGTGTGAAGCCTCATTCTGTGCGTAATGCCATGGCAACACCCACTAAGCGGTGGACACATGCAGTGGAGGCAGATATTAAGAGTGTGTGTGTGTCAGCTTTGTGTATGTGAAAGCTAAATCAAGGGGCCCAACAACAAGAGAGAAAGCAAGAGCGACTGGCCCATGAACACAGTTGATTATCTGCCATGCAAGCAGGCCGGTACCAAATCATGAAAGAAAACGCATTCATTTTTGTGGCAAGAGAAGGGTTTTGTTCACCATTCTCTTACAAAGCCCCACAGATGTAAAAAGAATCACAGCAGGAAAATGGTAACTGTCGGTCACTTTCAAAACATATTACGCCTCTGTGACATTTGGAAAGCTGATTTGTCATTGCCAAACTAATCCAGAAATAAGATAATCAGCTTGAGGAACCTTAGAGTTCGCTGAAACACACACACATATATATTTGACTATATTTATCATTTTAGAAAGATGCAAATGTTGCAGAATGCCACGGTTTTCTAAAGTCATGACGAACTGAATTTGTCATTGCCAAACTAATCCAGAAATAAGATAATCAGCTTGAGGAACCTTAGAGTTCGCTGAAACACACACACACACACACATATATATTTGACTATATTTATCATTTTAGAAAGATGCAAATGTTGCAGAATGCCACGGTGGTCTAAAGTCATGACGAACTGGAAGTAGCGACAGATCTTTTCTTCTGTATTGTGACATACATTCGGGTGCAATGGATTATTGTAAAGAGAAAAAATGCTAGGTAGGGTTCTATCAATCAGATGTTGGTTGTATTTCAGATGTGGGTGTCTCACTCAAAAATGAATGTATGTTTGCGCTCAATAGTGGAAGGGCAGTGATTAAGTGGACGAAAAGGCATATGTAACCAAAGAGAATTATGTTGTTTCCCTTGAAAGTTCAAATTATGATTTTCTGATGCAAAATTATGAGGTCAAAAAAAATAAATTAAGCATACATGGGTGGATTATTAACAAAAAATATATATATTTTTTTTAAATTCATGCCAACTTGTATATTAATATAAATCATTAAAGACAGTCAGCGGTGAGGTTGTTAGTCAATGGTATATGTTTTTGTTGAAACTCATTTTCAAAACAATTGTGTTAAAGGGTGGGAATCATGATGTTACTAAACTCTGATCTAATCAACATATTTAACTACGTTTATAGTTTTATACTACAGTTCTTTCCTCATTAAAAGACATTAAACTGTCCATTTTTTTCTTGACACCAAAAAGTGAACCACACTCAGTCTCAACCAAGAGTGCAGATGAACTGCCTGCTAAAACATATAACAACATTTATGCCAAAGACCTTCAAATTCATTGTGTACCCATTCTTCATTCCAAATAACAAAAACACAGAGTCAGTTACAAAACTGGTTTGTGTGTCATAATTCTAACAGAAAAACAACAGTGTGTACCTCAGAGACAGGTTAGCTTGACAAGATGAGACATGAATAGAGGCTAGCAAGAAGACAGACAAGCTGCACCTTCCATGACACACAGGAAGTGATGAAGACTTCAGTCATTGACAGCTGTACTGAGGTGCTCACCGTTTAAAGACCCCTTTTACACCCTTTTGCACACACACACACACACACACAGTGTGTCTTGAAAGCAGTTAATAAACATTTGCCAAAATCAGCGCAGAGTTTTGCAGTATATTGTGCCAGGAGGATATGCGTGTTAGTCAGAGAGCATTGTGAATAAGATATTGTCTGAATAAATAAAGTATAAAACAAACAATAAATAAAACTGTACTGTATGCCAATGTAAAACCTATAATTCTGGAAAAGCAACAGCAAAATGTCACAGTTTCAGTCCTAATTTATAAAGCTGTATTAAAGACTCACCCATGTCTCACTCCCAAAGCAAACAATCAAAGAAAGACCAGGATTAAGCCAGAAAAATGTATACAATCCATACTGAAGGTAAAAAAAAAAAATCACATAAAACACTCACCTTAAATACGCGTAACACTGACTTCTGTACAGACCTGAGGAAAAGCACAAACATTACTACATTGCTGGTAGAATAATGTAAATGTTTAACCATATTATCACTTCAGGGCACAGAAGATAACCTACTTTTAAATTAAATATAAAACTACGCATGGTTCTATTTGAACGAAATCATAATATAGTACCTGCAGCTTAAACGTTGGCTTTTAAGTTGATGTTTTGTTGTGTTAGCGCATGCAGGTCTGTCTTAACGGCTGTTACAGGCCAAACTTCAGTCATACTCACTCAACTCCTCCGATTCCCCACCAAGCCTTCTCTCGGTTCAGTCTCTTACAACAGAATCGACAACACAAATCAATTAAATCCCATCATATTGTAAGAACCGATTAATTAAACCCGTTTTAGTTGAATTTATTCGTTCGGTCCCCATCGAAGCGGTGTAGAGAGAAAACTTTACACAAACCCGGACAAAGGAGGCGTGGTCGTGACTCGGCTGGCCAATCAGAGCACAGGATTCAAAAAGAACCACACCCCCTATGAATCACCAATGAAATTTGAATGTCTTATCGTTCTACTCTGTGAGGGAAAACACTTCATTGTTTTACATAACTCCTAAAACACTTAACTATTTGTATGCGGCTTTAATTGTCACGTAAATCAACGGAGACCATTAGAATAAAACAATTAATCAGTAGCTATTTTATATCTTCAAATGAACGAAACAGTTTTAGAGCAGGGCTGACTGACTGACAGCTGATCTTAAGGCTTCTCGTTCCCATAGCAACCACCTGTTTCACCCCACCCCCGTGCGCGTGTAGCACCTGCCCAAAGCATCAGCATCAGATACGGCATTTATTATTTAAATTGCCCAAGAAGATCCTACACCACAGGCTTGAGAAACTAGACTTCATTGTACCTTTCAAATAGGCTGTTATGTCATTCTTTAATGAAAACGTCGCAGACTCTTGTAGTGCCTTAGAAACTCTTGGAACAAGCATCAAATGTAAGTGCAATGTCATATTATTAGAGCAACTTAGAGTTGGAGTGTTAATTTTCTCGGCTTCTTGTTTTTATTTACTTATTTATTTTTACTATTTAATTTACTTAATTATTTACTCATTTATCCAGCAAGATAGGCTACGTCATGAATATTCGGAAATAATTCTAATTTTAATTTAATTCTAATTTATTACAGGCCTATATATAATTAGCAGATTTATAATATTATGTTATTGGAAAAACAAAAATTCACTTGCAGTTGTAACCGTTTTCCATTCATTTTGTGTATTCTTGTTGCTAAGAAATGAATAGAGAGGCGCGGAAGACGCGCAGTAGCGCACGGAGCGCGTTTGATGGAGAGCCATCGGGAGACGCAGAGGATATGGACGGTGAAGATGATGCTCACAGCAGACCTTCATCACTGCTGTGGGAAAGACACATCGAGCAGAGTATATTTGTGGATATCAGCGATGATGACAGCCTGCATTTCAGTGACATGCAGGGCGGCTTCACTGTTCACCTCTCACAGGCCTCTGGTGGACCCCAGAGCCCACAACTCACTGGTAAGAGATACTATGAAATCCCTCTTTTTTATAAAACTTCAATGGTAATGCTATGGTTTATACTATTGAAGTACTATGCAATTCCATGTTTTTGGTCACCACTGATAAAAAGCACCAAAAAGTAGTTTTCAACATCTTGAAAATGTAAATGCTATGAAATACAGATACACTACGCCTACATTTAAGAACTTTTTCAGTAAAAACAGTAATACTGAACTACTAGAATTTAAAATATTTGAAAATAAAATGTATTCTTGTGATGGCTAAGCTGTATTTTCAGCATCATTACTCCAGTCTTCAGTGTCACATGATCCTCCAGAAATCATTCTCATATGCTGATTTGCTGCTCAAGAAACATTTTATTATCAATGTTGAAAACAGTTGTGCTGCATAATTTTTTTTGTTGTTGTTGTTGTGGGAATTGTGATCAAGTTTTTCAGGACACTTTGATGAAAAGAAAGTTCAAAGGAACATTTTTTGTAACATTATAAATGTATGTACTGTCACTTTTGGTCATTTGAGTGCATCCTTCTGAAAGTACTAATACTACTAAGTACTAAAAAAACTTACTGACCCCTGCCTTTTGAATATGTATGGTAATCATTCAGAATGTATGACTAAGGTCCCACTGACATTGATTGAACGTATTTAAAATCTGATTAACATTAATGACATCATAATGACCTAATGTCAGCTGGATCTCCAGACAATTTCACCACAAATGGGTTTAAATTATAACATTTTACTAAAACATTAAAGACTTTAACCAACCCACTGTCCCCCCACTTTAACCAACCAGCCCACCAAACCAGTGGGTTTAACCAACCCACTGCTATTTTGTGTACAGATAATGCAGAGCTGTCAGAGTCATGTGAGACTGAAGAGGGCTCTTCAGAGAGTGTTGAATCAGTTAGTAGTAAATGCACAGAACATTCAAAAACCAGAAACAGGAAGGGAAACATACCCAAGGCGTCAGTACAGAAAACCACCCCTGCAGTGAAGCCAGTCATTGGAACACACGAGAATGATGCTGTCAACACCAGTGATGAAGAACATGAAGAGCTCCCATATGATGGTGCACACAGCAACTACAAAACAGAGAAGAATTTAAAAGCATCTCCATGTGAAATGGTTACTGAGATGCCTGGTCAGAATTTCTCTACACTTGATAAGTTAAGTATGCCATTTGTTAATGCAGAACAAACAGAGGCTTGCCAATCTAATCTTACTCACGGTCTTCTATCCAATCATAAAGCAATAAAGGCTGTGGCTCTGCCTGTAGCCACACCTATTCAACCTGCAGACCATATCAATGACTTCCTGCTCAGACACTTCTCCAAGGAGGAGCTGCTTAACTCAAGCAGGATCATTGAAGCGGAGACCTTACCCGAAATGTCTTTGATGGACAGCATTGATGAAACCGCACGGAGTAGAGCTTCTCAGGCTGCACAGATCTTCGTAAGAGAGAGGGAGAAGATTCAGGATGTGATGGAGGAGCCTGATCCAAGCATTGCTGAAAGCCATAGATTGGCTGAACTAAATGTTTCAAATGAGTCAAGCTCATCTAAGGGACCTGGGTCGACTTGCATCAGTGACGACGATGATAATAAAGAGTGTCCTAAGCAGAACTGCAGTGCTAACTCTTTAGATCTGTCTAAAGCAGATGCACAAAAGCCTAAGTGCTCCTTCAGCAGAACCAGGTCCTATAGTGATCTGAAATACGGGCAGGGCAAGGTGCATTACCCACTACCTGACTTCTCTAAAGTGGCACCTAAAGTCAAAATACCTAAAGGTAATGCAAGCGTTAAACCCATCAGCCAGTCACCAGCTATGGCCCGAGCCCAGTCGTCCCCAGGCATTCTGGGTAAATCAGCCTCCTCTTGTAAACCTACAGCAGATATCATCAGCAGGGTTTTAGAGGACTCCATCAAGCCACCAGAGAATGTGTTCACAGACAAGGAAGTAGCACATCAGTTACAGGTGAATCTATATTATTATGTAATATTGTAGTATGTAAACTAGATATTAAAGGTTGTAGATAAGCGTTGATGCTGCTTAAGAAAGCCTAGTCTGGAAGTTTGAAGAATTTAAGAAATATTTTTTAAATAAAAAAAAAGAAAAATATTTTAAAAAGGTTTTCAGTTTAAAGTTTGAAAAGCTTGGAGTTTAATATATAGATTTAATAAGCATCAAGCTGCTTTGACCTTAAGATCTGACCTTTGACCTGAGAACTAATTTATTTCTGTGGAACACAAAAGAAGAGATTGTTTTAAAAAAAACAAAGACATAAAATAAAAGTCAGTGGGGTCTAATGTTGTTTTGGACCCCAGTGACATTTATTGCATTAAGCATTAAAAAAAGTGTCAAAACTTAAATAACCTACCATTTTATTTGTTTACAGGTTGAATATGACAGACTGCTTGCTAAATATACACAAGCTGAAAACCTAATCGGTCAGGTTAGACTGAAGTGTTTTTTTTTCTTCTGTGTATGGATGTTTATATGTATATCTTGATAAGGGAATATAACACTAAATATTATGCCTTTATAATACATGCTCACAGTACACACATATGATCTGCATTTCAACATACCCTCATTCTAATCTGATTAGCAGCCCAGTTTGTGTCAGTTATATTGTTGCTTTCTTTTAAGCAGCAGATTCATGCTTCCAGTGAGCCTTCTGTGACCATCGACTGGATTGATGCAGCTAGCAACAATGAAAACACCAAACTGACAGCAACTAACCCACAAGCACCAGCCGCAGGCAAGAAGCCATTGTATTTCTTTCTCCCGCTGAAGTACTGGACTGCACTGTAACCCTGACAGCACAGAAACCCTGCCAGGGAAATTTGAGCTGGTTTCTTCAGCAGTTAAACAGACCTTCTGAGAGAGGGAAACAAGAAACATCAGATATTAAATGGTTTATCGTTACAAAATGATAGAAAGTGCTATAAGATAAATATGAATTAATGAACAAGCGACACTGCA